TTTTTTTTTTTTTTTTTTTTTTTTTTGTCTTTTTAGTATATCTTATCGGTTTATCGATAAACCGATAACCGAAGAGGACAAAATCGAAATCGAAATCGATATCTCGATAAGGAAAATTTCGAAATCGAAATCGATAAATCGATAAACCGATAACAAATAATCGATTTGATTTATCGATAAACCGATTCGAATGCACACTCCTACTAAAATCAATCATTCCTTAAGAAACTTACAAGCATTTTCAACATCAAATCTAAACGACTTGAATTAGTGGAAATTATTATACTTACACAGTAAAGATTTTACATAGGACTCCAGAGGATAAGAAAAGTAAACTTACAGAAAGAAGAACTGCAGTTTCTGCACCCTGGGGATCCTTGAATGTGACATATGCAATTTGAGATCGCTCATTCTCACTACGACAGCAATAAAAGAAACGTGCATAAAGCCATAAAAGAAACCAACAAGAAGCTCATATCATATTAGCTTTTAAATTCTCGATAGGCAGATTGTATCTCTGATTTCAAGCTACGCCTAGACGGAAACAAATAGAGGAGAAGAGGAATGACAATACTTTGTGTTACCAACACTAACCTTATCATCTCAACATACTCAATATCCCCAGAGAATGAGAAGAACTCCTTGATATCTTGCTCCGACGCACCAAGAGAGACATTGCTCACTTTCACTGTTCTAACCTATTATGATAAACAACTAAAAAGGATTAGCAAGCCTAGACAACACAGGGTAAAAAGCCATGCATCTTGTTTAATGGTCTTTCGTTCTTCTTTCTTTAGGAAAGGTTAGTGGAGCATACTGCAAGTTGTCCAACATTATGCAAGAATTTTCTCACATGTAGATTTACTGATACGGAGGAGCAACACTTGAGGCATGGATGACTTTACGCGAAAGCTTCTTAAAATCATAAGTGTACAATGGACATTACCACATAGTATCTTTTTCTGATGATGAAAAAAATTCTAATACAAAACATTACCACATATTACCAAAATCTACTACAAAACAGGATTTTGAAGTTTCCTCTTCTCATGAAACATTAAAATTTCATCATTTGGTCCTAGATATAGTCTTCCTTGTAGAAAATGAATTTATTTGGGCACTAATCATTTTAAAGAAGCAATTACAGTAGTACGTATTAAACATTGAGGCCACGCGGATCATCATAACTTACTAAAAGCACAAAATTCGAGGAGAAAAACATACATTCGAAGCTCAGAATTCTTCCCAAAGACATTTGGTGCCCAAGTCGACTCAAGTCAAATAAAGGACTTTATTGTTTTTCACTTATCAATATCATCCAATCACATCTCCTATGGCAAATCAGATCTAATGATCTGGAATTTGTCAAAAGAATTTTAATCGAACTTTCTAATGTAATTCCTAAAAGTACATTTTGTAACATCAAAAGCCACTCACAAATGAATTAGGCACTTCAGTTGCCACCATTAGTTAATCGCCCAAAGACAATAAGGAGCACTACATTATCATACACACTTTCTAACAGGTTTATCTAACAAATCCAGGAACTAGGTAAACTATAAACTTCATTAAAAGAAGCAAAATCTAGGGCATTTACCCGAGAACGATTGTACCAATAACTCGATAAATTGAACTCAACCGAAAGTAATTGGATCCAATAGAACAATAATTCATAGATTCCAAATAGATCAAATTGATTCGCAACAACAAAAAAAGAAAAAGAAGCAAAAAACAAGAGATGATGAACTACTCACCGACATCGAATCAGAAACAATAGGACTACTCAGTTGTTTGAAGTAAATATATTTGTAGAAGTTTGTAAAGGTGAAGTGGTAATTGAGCGGATGTATAGTATTGAAGGAAAATAAGGGGAGTTGTTTGTGCTATAAGATAGCGAAAGGCAGTGGGCTTTGGGAGAAAAGGTTACTTCAAAACGTCAACGTACGTGTGACGTGCGAGAGGGAGACTTGGAAAATGGACACGCTATTTTCATTTCGACGTTAATGAGATTTTGTGGCTTTTCCCCAAATTGTACTCCCAAACTGAAGGTATCTTTTTCTTCTTCGCACAAAGAATCCAAAAAGGTAATTTGGTTAAGGCAATCAAAAAGGTATTTTCCTTTTTCCATCTCCATTATTTGCTCAAAGAAATAGATTATTGTAACGAAGGAAAGTTTTCGCTTCCTTATTTACTCGAAGAAAGACGTTTGGACATAAGAATTTTTTTATTTTTTTCCGAAATTACTATTTGACCATAAAATTTTTAATTTTCACTTGAAAATAAAGTTTATAACTTTTGAAAATTTTAAAAACTCCAAAAGTCTGTTTTCAAAATTTTCATTCAGACCACTCACAAAAATTCAAAAACAACTCAAGATTATATTCATGTCCAAAAACAACTCTAATTTTCAAATAGTATTTTCACTTGAAAAAAAGTTCACTTTTTTTACAATTTTACAATTCTTATGCCCAAACGCCCACTAAATTATTGTAAGGAAGAAAGGTTTTTGCTTTATGCTCATGTTACGAAGGGTTATAATACGGGAAAAAGGGTAAAAAAATACCCCTTTACTATGCAAAAAGAATTATTTATACCCTCTGTTGCACTTTCGATCCGTCGTTACCCCCGTTCCCAGGGGTTCATCTATCGCTTCCCATCGTTTCGGTAAATCTACTCTTCGAAAACAAAGGGACTCTCTATGTAGGGTAAAATCGGGGGTAATATCTACCACGACTTTCCGGTGAGAAAACGGAAGAAGGGCACAAATGCAAGAGATTGTAATCGAGGTTAGAGACCCTTCGTATCGAGATCCAGGAAGAGTGAACGATGTGCTCGTCATCGAGTATGGTAAAAGCGGCGCGCCCCGGGCCAAGAATGAGTGCTAAGACCTCGGGAAACACGACGAATGGTTACATGCAACGAATTGAGGACTGTGATATTCGCACTCAATCACATATCATGTCGCGGATCTCGCTCGATGTCGGTTGTGGATTAGTAATTAATGAGAAAGAAAGATTTTTCCCTTTTTAGGCTTATACTAGGGGTAAAACTTTCATACTATATAGGGAAGGTTTCTTTTGTAACACATGAATCAAAGCAATACAAGTTTGTTTTCTACCTTTTAGCTAATGATAACGTTCTTGTTCACTTATCATGTTCTTCATTCATGTCTGGGCTCGAACCGAGGGTCTAATCGAGGGCGAGGTCACTATTCAATCTAAGTTCAGGCTTGGTCACAACATCGCAATTGGTGTGATCGCTTATTTCCTCTTTAATTCATTTATCTAATATTATTAATTATTTGTGTTAAATCAAACAATGTATTCTTAACATCGTATACAAGTTTAATTCTTCTCCAATTTTGGTGTGAACACTAAAGAAATTATTATAGTGGATTAAAAAAAAATAGTTGAAAATAAATTTAGAAAATATAACGTAAAACTGATGTATTTTGATTGTCAAAATATATTATCTTAGCACAAATACAATGATTATCTAGAGTAACGTTTGTACCTTCAAAATAAAAAAACCAAATATTAATGCAAAGATTAATCTTGTTGGGTATATACTATTAATTATGCATTTGGATATAATATATCCTAATAATTATCATGGTTTAAAGTTTAAGTGGGAGATTGTTGGGATATATACTATTAACCATGGGATTGGTTTAGATATTATGAAATAATTATTTATTCAGTTTTAATAAAATTTTATATATATCATATATTAGTCTGTATCCTTTATTTATATAGTAGATGATTTAGCGTATAGAGTTTAGCTTATATACGGAAAATTAAATCATCGGTTCTTATAAGTATAAAGTTTGAGTTCACAATCTAATGATAGAATTGGACAAACCATCATGGATGAGTGTAGCACAAGATTAAATAAAATTTATCTTGATTATGAAAATGGTTTAATTCCAACTTCTTGTGCTAGTACATTTTGTATGTATTGAACGGATCAAGTCGAGATAAGTATTTTATACTGACTTAATAAAATAAATTCTATAGCAATTAAATATACTTATACTCTTAATCTTGATATAATTATTATTAGTTATGTATATTATTGTTGTTTTGATTTATTGAAAGGCGAGATTCTTTCCTGTGTCAATATGCCTGGTAAATTGGATAATAATATGGTGAAATAATAGTTAGTTGATGGAATCTATGTCTTGGTTTAGAGATTGATGATACACCTTTATGAAAGCTTATAAATTTTCATGTGTAAACTCGGCCGGTGGATTTGTATCCGACACATGAAATAAGTTAAGCGAAAGTCTAAAGGAAATAATCAATCAACTAAATTTTCAGTAATTAAATTTAATTGATTAGTATCTGAATCTTAATATGGGGAGTTAAATAAGATTTAATGGATGAATTTCGAAATTGAATGATGAGTGCAATAACGAATTTTTAGTGGAATAATTAGTAATTTATTATGGTAGTATTAATTCCATAATAGGAAGCCTCGTTAATTAAATTATGTAGTCCCTACTGTGCTTGAATAATTAGGAATTAAATGGAATCTCGTTTCTTGATGGAAAAGGAAGACCCAACAGGTTTAGAAAAAGGTTTTAACCCTAAAACCTATGGCTATATAAAGGGGTCTTATTCCATAAGGAGGCTATAAGTTTTACTACACATTTTCGTTAGAGAAAATTCGCCCACACAAATTTCTCTAATTCTGGACATTATTCGTATCATACAATAGAAGACCGTGGAACTGGAAGATGATCTTGTGGACGATTTTTGCCGATGCTTGAAGGTATTTTCACGATCGCGGTCATGCTTCAAGAGATAAATGCCGATTTTATTGTATGACCAAAAAGCATAACTTCCGATTAAAATAATTGTATTCGTATAATGACGGGTTAAACCTAGTTAATGATAATATCCCTAGATGTAGGTTCCAAAAATGCGATTGATGTTAAACATATTTGGAGGGTAATTGACAATAATACACATTAAATATCCAAGAAGATATGGGCAATAATGGAGTAGTATCTAGTATTAAGTGATAATAAATGACATTTAAGTAAATAAAAGGAATAGTTCACCCAATAAAAAATAAACTAGATGATTGTTCCTCGTGACAATGATGAGTGACATACAGATCTAAGAATATTCGAACTATTCTCGGATATGATAGAAAAGTATAGAATAATACGGGCAAGAATCTTGATAAAAAGGTAATGTTTGTATCTTTGCAAGAGAGAATCTTTATCAAAAATTTGTTCTTATCAAATATGTGTGTCCCCCTCCATACATTATCGTTTTTCCTATTTATATGGGACATTCCCACAACAAACCCTAATAGTACAAATGCAGAGAATATCCAATTGAATATTCTTTTAATGTCATATTCTAAAAAACAAGTCATTACAGCTCTTTCTATGGTACTCGACCATCGTTTGCACCTTGATCACGAGTCTCGTTGTTTCTTGGTCGACCTCAGCTGACTCTTTTCTCAATGTCACTTTGCCCTAAGCATTGAGACAAATTTTGACCTATACAATTAGTCCCTCCACTTATTAAGGCTGGTCTCAGACGACCTTGATAGGCAAATTCTATTTGTTGTGGTCGGCAAAATTGGATGAGCGAGTCGAGTAGTGATGTTTCAGACGAGATGACAATGTGACCTTTCGTGAGCTACAACTTTCGGAGTCATATCAATCCTACTTCAGAATGACATCATGACATCATGTGTCATTATGGTGCATTTTCCCGATGTTTACGTCATTTCCGGTGCATCTGTCATTTCGGTACTAGTGTTGGGTAATGATGGCTTGATTTCTCGGTTTTGATGTTTGAATTCTTATAAATAGGGATGTGAGGACATTCATGTTTTGCGTATTCTTCATATCGAATCCCTGTGTCTTCTTCTCCTTCATTATTGTGTGCCTACTCTCCTGGTTCCGGCGATTGCAGTTGCTTTCAACCCATCTTCACTTGAATATCCTCTATTCTGTTGGAACTATGGCTAACATGTTTTCTGGTCATGGTGAGGGAAGTAACTTGGTCCCTTTGGTGGTGATTATGCCTCCTCATGCTGTGGACGTCTCCGTTGCTATTGAGGATGAGAACTTTCCTACGGTGGAGTAGATAGTTCCTCGTGGTGAGAAAGTTAGGTCTGACTTCTCGAAGGCGCCTGAAGATGAGCCCGAGGTTTCTGAGTTGGCGATGAAAGAGGCCGATCTAGCAGAGCTTAGGGTTAAATTCAACATTCTGCTCGTGTCGATTTGGTTCTTGCGGAGCGAGATGTGGTGCAGACCCACAGTCCCCGGTATTGCGCGTTCTACGCTTACCCTTTTTGTATTGGCTATACTCTCCCCTTATCCCATTAGCAGAGGAGTTCTACCTTTACTATGGCGTTTGCCATGCTTAGCTTTCTCCATATATCTACAAGCTTATTAGGATGCTTACTAAATATGCGAAATTGACCGGGGTCGAGGTCACATACCAGCATCTGATGCATCTCTTCGCCCCTAGTTTCTATAGGGGACAATGTTGAATCTTTGACATCAAGGAGGTAAATTCTTGGTGGTGAAGATGGATGACAAGGCAAACTACCAATTCTGGCACAATTTCTTCTTTTTCAGAACCGAAAATATGGTGGTGAACGCGGTCGGCTTCTCCGAGACTTGGAGTCACACTCATAAGCGTTCAACTTTTCTTTGTTAAAACATTTGATTTTCTTGTTTTGTTCGTAGATTCTGAACTCGGGTTCCCTTCTTATGTAGCTAAGACTATGCCCCCTCATTTGGTCGGGGATATTTCCAATAGGGTTGGCCGAGTTCTCCCTCGTACCTTGGGAATTCGCGAGTGGCCGAGCTTTCTCAAGAAGTTTGGGTCTGATCCTTCCTTGGCCGGTGAACTAGTTCATTTTCTTTTGTTTTTTGGCCTCTTAGTCACCTATTTCTTTTAGTTTTCTTTCGTTGATAGTGATAACCTTTTTGGTTCTTACTTTTCAGGCCGAGGACCTTTGAAGAGGCCGAAAACTCCCCCTCCTTTATTTCGTAAGAAAAACTGCCTCCTCTTTAGTGTCTATTCCTTCCACAACCAAGGTTAGGCCTGTTCGTTCTTCTATTTTCGTTCCT